AAAAGTTTTACGTCTATTTCTTGTTTGTAAAGAACTAATTTACCGTAAAAGGCCTAATGAAGCTTGCAGAAGTCCAGCAAAAAAAGTTGCAGTGAAAGCAAGTTGAAGATAAAGCGTGGGATGCTCAGCAGCATTCACTTCGTTTCCCAACATAGAAGCAGTGAGGAGCGATGCGACAGCAACAGTCCCTACTGCTAAATCTCTAGAGCTCCCCATCATAGCATAAACCAGCGGTGGAATAAAACTTGAATCTTCATTTCAACCCAAAAGAGAGAACTTAATCAGTACCCTTCAACAACAACAACAAAAGAGTTGATCTAATCAAGTTACTGTTAGTATTACTTACAGAGGCCGAGAACGGGTGGCAAATTAGCAAGCTTAGCATAGCTTATACCCTGAGGGATAGCAAGGCTGGCGATGGTTATCCCAGAAATGAGATCAGATTTCAAGAACTTTAAGCTGTAACGAGGAGCCCATTCGAGAATGGGGAACAAATATTGCAGGCCGAGTATAAGTTTCTTCGAGGGCGTTTTGTTCTTGAATTGTCTAAGAGGGTCTTCCGGGAAAAACGTCTCCTTCAGAGAGTTCTTGAAAGACATGAAAAATGGCTGTGCCGGAGGAATCGCCACTCGATGAGCGCATTGTTGCTGATGGTCGCTCGTCGGAGGGCACAGAAAATCAGCGTTTCCCATTATGCAATCGTGTGTGTGTTTTCTGCCAGTGATGAAGAAGAATGATGAACTTGGCCTGGTTTTTATAGGGAGGGAAATGATGTAAGAGATTGTTTTTGACTCAGTTTAGTGGGCAAAGGGACCCGCATGAATTTCTGTTTATTCATTGTTGTAGTAAATTCCTTGGTTGCACGCATCGTGCAGATTTTGTTGTTTTAAGAACCGGGGAGTTCTCCTTTAATCACAGAGACAGGAGAGGCAAAATCCTGGAAGTTTACGTCTTTTATTTTTTATTTCTTTCAAATTCTACTATAATACAAGGACGACTATCTTTAGTGGATTACGTGGCACAATATGCAACGTGTTCGATTTTCATTGGGTGACCAAAGAATGATCCCTTGATAGACACGTTGCACAGGGCAGTGAGTTTTGGTTAGTCTTTTCAAATTCTACTTTAGAGGTCGACTACGTTTTGGTGGGTCATTATGCAACGTGTTAGACTCCAATTGGATGACACGTTACAAAGGGCAGTTAATTTTATGGTTGTTGAGTTTCAAGTTAAGTTACCTGACGGTTCAAATTGATCATAAATTTATAGTACAGTAACCCGAACCTAAGTTTTATTTAAGGCACGACTGTTACATCGTTTGGTTAAGATATTATCAGCTGAAAGCCTGAAAACCTAACGGTGTGCATATAAAACAAAAACAAAAAAAGAACTAACAGTATACCTAAATTAGGTTCTTACTTGAGGGAAGTATATGAAAGTGTTTTGGCCGTAATGTAAGTGTATAAATTCTATAGGACACTTTTTCATCAACTATAAAACAATTTTATAAAATAATTATTTAGTAAAATTAATTATACATGTAGAGACACCAGTTGATCGAGTATGTAACATAAATTAACCAACAAATTTTAGTTGCCTTTAAGAAAAATATTTATTTCTAATATATATAAAAAATAAAACTATCAAAATAATAATAATAATAATTTGATTAAGAATAGGCTAAAAAACCTAACAGTACGTGTATTTAAATAATAATATTGGTATTTCTAACTTGTTTTTCCCCCAGCAAAGTAGAAGGAATTCTATTTAGTCTAAATAGAACATGAAGTTGGCCAGATAAGCCAACAACATAAAAAGTTCAAAAGCATAACGCAAGTGTATTCTTAGAGAACAAAAAAAAAAGAAAAAAATAATTAACTAACTGATATCAATGGTTAAAAGATTTGTTGTTATTTCTTAAGGTTTCAGATTTAAGTATCGCGTATATAGGGTATAAATTTTTATTGTCAAAGAGTTTAAGGTATTTAAACAGATATTACTTTGTATTTACCCTAATTTATTTATAAAAAAACTAACAGAATAAACAAACGTAGCAATACTATGCGCACCTATAAGCACTATGCTTTAAACATTTTTCAATTTGCATCTCATATTTAATAAATTAATTAATTAAATTATTAAGTTTTCGTGCTACATATTTGAAATAAAATATTTAATTTATTCAGTTAATTGATCGAGTTTGATGGGAAAAAATTATAATGACCATTGACCACGGACATAAACTTAGATTGTACGCCCGTAACAAGACCACTTGAGATTCGGATTCCTCAACCAACCATGACTTGCCTAACCAACCGGCTTGAATGAAAACTTCCAAAGCCAACCTGATAACCAAGATTTTGGCATGGTCAGATTCAATTGCTAATACGGGACCAAAAGTAATGCCCAAATCTCGCCACAATGATCCCTCGTGTCCTCCTTGAAAGCTCCATCAACATTGGTGGTTTCAACACCCACTGTATCAGCCATCGATTGTCCCTTACCAAACACACGCTGAGCCACCAAATATTCTCCCAAGTTTCTAGATCGTCATGAGCAGCTTTGATCCATAGATTAGCTCCTCCAGGGTCATTATTTTGCTCAACGATACTGTGAAAACTGGAAAAGCTGTCTTGTAATGTCACATGAATATAACATCAGGGGAAACGAAAAGAGTTCCCGTGCAAGTGAGACCATCACGGGACTCAAAAGCTCTTTCCTTAAAGACAAAAAACCAGGGAGATTACCATAATCAATTCTCTAAACTAAACTCCACTTTAATCCTACTTAATTAATTTGCGATTAAAATTGATTAAACGAACCCTTTTATCTTTCCTATGTGTCATATTTATCGTGTTCTTTGTTTTTATATGATCATGAAAAGACGAATTTTATTGAAGAAATTTGTGGATAAAATTAAACAAACCCTTTTACTTTCCTGTATGTCATATATATTTTCAATCATAGTGGTATCTTGATCTGTATGTATATTTCACATTGAATTTATTGAAAAAGCCAGATTTATACTAGTTGGCCTTAGCGATACCGATCGGGTCGAATCTTGAGATCAACATAGAGTGCGGTAGTACCCTTTACTTTTAGGATCCGTGGTGTTGAGTAAACATGGATTGAAATTATTTAAAAAATAATTATAATCTACAGATGTGTTAATATGTAATCGTAAACCAACATAAAAGACATTTTAATTAAAAAAAATCTCCAATTCAGATGCGAAGAGAGAAGCGTTGTTCCATTTCACTTTTTAGTTTAAAAAATAGTCGTAAAAAAGTTGAGCAATCCAGCTAGCACCAAATCACCATTGTTGACCAATGAAAACTAAGCAGAAATCCCCAAGTTGCAGGCAATCTTATTGTTATTTTACCATAGTGGGTGCTGCTAGTGAATCCACTAAACGAGTAAAGGGCGCCAACATGTACATAATTGGGTACATAACCTTAAAAAAATACTGGTGGATTCATGTTTCCTCGTGCTTGTGCTTGTGGGTGCGGAGTTGTGGGGGAAAAGGGAGGCTGAACGTTACCTTCTCACATGAGAAGAGAAGATCTTTGTACAATCTTATATTTAAGTTCCCTCTCGCAATCATAAAATCTTAAATGCCTTTCACCGTTCAACTTAGGGATATCCGATGAGTTTTTATCCAATCCGATTCGGTCGGATTGTTTTTTTTAAAAATTTATTTAAGTTAGCGGAGTCATATTCTTTTTAAGGGTAAGGTTAGATCGAGTTCAAGTCTAGTGTAAAAAAATTGAACCCAACATAATATTATAATGATCTTATATATATCAAGAGATAATTGTAATAATACCTTTTATATTTTAATTTCGTTTTCGATTATATCCTTATTTACCTAATAAAAATGAATTATTTATGCCATATCATGTGCAGGTTTTAATAAAAAATTAGATCGTATTTTATTTCAAGTAGAACTCTCTTAAGCTTGGGTCGAGAGAATAATTTAATTTTCAGATTACATTTGGGTGAGCCAAAATATTCTCTCTTTATTAGCTAATTAACCATTTTCAGTTCAACTTCGTGATTTGAACTTAAAATTTTTACATAATCCAACTAACATAATTTTTTATAATATTAATTATTAATATTACATCCCTCTATGACAAAGTTTGGTTGATCGAATCCCATTAGATTCGACGAGAGATCATTACATATATCATATATGTTAACCTACAAGCTCATGGCCATTAATCCAATCATGAGACATTGGAATTTATCCGTAACCACAATTCCTACACAAACATATGTGATGTGATGTGTGTGTGTGGTAGCATTACATATATCATATATGTTTAACACTGCAGTGATGTGCTGTATGAATCTCAGAGTTGCGGTGTGGCCTTGTGGGGGGAGCTTGGCCTCCTCCAATCTCATAGCAACCGAGGTTTCTGAAGGCAGCAGAGGCCACAAGTTTGATGGCCCACGTATAACCTTTGGTTACACTGACCAATGGTCTGCTTGGAACCGAACAGAATCTTCTTGTTGGGGCGTGGTTACTGTTGAGAATCGGGACAGTTTACACTATTTAGTTGACATGTCGACCAAATAATTGAGCTAACAGTATTAGCAGCATCATAATATACACGGGAAGACTGTTATTAGCATCATAATCTTTTAATTATTGAGCATAGGTAAAAACTAAATAGGGAGATACACTAACATTTCTAGCCAACTTTATGTAATTGTAAGTTGTTAAAGAACTTCACGAGATATCATCTCAATAATTGGTTTTCTGCTATAAAGAAACAATGCCATATATCAAGTATATTTTTTTACCCAAAAAATCAAGTATATCTCATAATTTCAGACAAAATATGCTGTTATCTTGTAAGAGTATCAAAATACCGGATCTGGAAAATGATTGGGATTTTGGGCCTGGGCCTGTATCTTGACCCTAAAGGCCTCTTTTGAGGGACAAAGATCTAGCATGTTACGCGCTGATATGTTTTGCCCTTAACCCGCGGCTTCTTCTTTCGCGGGGACAAATTGAATTGAAAAAGATGGAAGGATCGGGCATTTTGCGGCTCTACGAAATTGAGTACTCGGATCTCATGCTTCTATCATCATCGTCCTCATCGTGTTCACATTATCAGGAGAAAATCATAATGGAAAACCTGGGCCCGTTGGGTCCGGGTCTCCTTTCTGTTACAAACGTCCCCGACGCTTCGATTCTCCGACGAAAGTTACTCCCTCTTGCTCGCAAGCTGGCTCTCCTTAGCCGCGAAGACCGCCAACGTATACTCAGAGTAATTTCCACAAACATTTTATTCCCTGTCCTATTTTTAGCTGTAATTTGCTTCAATTTTCTTCTTCTTTATTATGTGCTTTTATATTTTTTTTGAAACTAGACATAGAGTTTTAAGTTATAGCGGTATTCTAGCTCTCAAAACTCCAAAAGGAAGGAAAAAGAGAGAGGTCTTATTATTGATACAGATTGTAGTAGAACCAAGGACAGAGCCGCAGCCACCAAAAAATCCGGTATAATAGCATTTTAGATCATTTTTAGTTTAAATGTTAGTAAAGTAATGTCTCCCCTATTTTTAGATTTAAATATTTATTAGATCCTTATTTTTTTATGTAAAGTAATTTGGCTGCTCCAATGCTTAATCTTAACTCCGTCCCCGAGTAGAACCATACCTATAAACTTCTTATTAGTGTAGGAGATAATATGAACTTCCAGCCATTGTCTTGTAATTAGGATCATCTAAAAACTCTATGACCCTTTGTCCCGGCGCTTACACAGACTGCTAGTTTTATGTAGCTCTGGGCTAACACTATTATGCTCGTCACCACCCAAGGAAATATGCAAACCTTACAAAGAATTCTCATGCCAGTGATTCAAGTCCCACGTCTTACAGTTAGGATAAAAACGAGTATTTTTTCCATGTCTTTTCTAAAAGTGTTCGATTGTATATGTTTTCTTCTTCTTCCCCTTTTAATCCTTTATATGTTGTTTTTCATTATTCTTGTTTCTTTGTTTAAGCTATGTTTAGGACCACAACTTGGGGAGTGATGTTCCATTGAAAAACCCAGATAGGAATGTCTCCTCTTTTGCGATGCAGCTCAAGTATGATCAAGGTCTAGAATGCATTGGAAGAAAACCAAGCCACAAATATGAAAATATGGATGGAATCAGTGATTTTGAGGATGACGGATTTGATAATCTTGAGCATATGTTCAAGGCACTAGGATTTTGCATGATGGAAATTGCTCTCTGTCTTGCTCGAATATGTGATAGGGACATTGGAGGCAATGAGCTTGAGCAAAGTTTATTGGAATCATGTGCAGCAAAAGGGCACCTTATACATTACCACTCAATGGTAGACAACATTATTCTTAGAGAAGCTGGTCAAAGGAAGGGAACAAGTAAAAGCAATAACCACGCAAGAAGGAAAGAAATTTTATTGAAAAGTAATAACTTGGAAACAAATGGTAATGAAGTTAGGTCATCTGAAATTCATGCCAACCTATGGCAACAGTGGCATTATGACTATGGTATCTTCACCGTTCTAACTGATCCCATGTTTCTCACGTCCTCACGCCAAGCAGCAGAAAACAGTGAAGTTTCTGTTTCTAGTGATCAAGAATGTACTTCACCAAGTGGGCATTCTTATTTGCAGGTTTTTCATCCCAACAAGAATAAAGTCCTCATGGTAAAGTCCTCTCCTGAAAGCTTCATTGTTCAGGTTGGTGAATCAGCAGATATCTTATCCAAAGGAAACCTACGATCAACCCTTCATTGCGTGCAGAGGCCAGCAAGGTTAGAAAATTTAAGCAGAGAAACTTTTGTGGTGTTTTTGCAGCCAGCTTGGAGTAAAACTTTCTCAATCTCAGATTATCCCATGGAACATTACAACCCAAGTTTTCAGCCTTTGGAGCAAGCGGAGGAAAATAACTTCTCTGATCAGGGCCAAAATGCACTTACTCTAGAAATTCAAAAAATAGTTCCACCACTTTCAGCACGATTGAAGGATGGGATGACATTTGCAGAATTCTCACGTGAAACAACAAAGCAGTATTATGGTGGCAGTGGTTTCCAATCTATTAAGTGATTAGCTCATTAGATATCTTTCCTCTGTAAGGACATAGGATGTTCATGTTGGTAGGGCTCAGGCTTTCATCATATAGGCATCTTTACAAGAGGTTTAAACCTCATACTTTTCCTCACATTCGCATGCATTTACTCTTATTGTTCCCTCACTGATATGTGCCAAATGCAGACTATGCAGTAATTCACTCCTATTCTATATTCTACCTTGTGGCATTGATTTTCCAGCTCACTTGTATTATCTTCTGCATAATAGAAATGCCGTTCTTTATTTTAAGTAGTTAATAAATGTTTTGTTTGCACTCTGAAATGGTGTCAATTAATATATGTTTTATGTTAACTTGACAGCGTAGATATTATGTGTAATCGATCGATATCTATTAGCTTAAGGCCACAATGAAAATGATTGGGTCAAAAATACAGAAATTGTGAATGGATTTTTTTGTTGTTGACATTTCTAAGCATTGAATCTCAGCATGTACTAGCATTTAACATACAACCGTTTCTGATATTTTCAACTTAGTATCTTTCCTTCTATTACTGTAATTTGCTTTCAGTTTTTGGCTTATTTTTGTTAAAATTGTAGATTGATAGTTATTGTCCTTCATGTGACATCTTTTTAGTTGGAAGTTGAAAAATTTAAAGCTAACAGAGAACTGTTTAGTGCAGCAGTGAACAGATAGAATGCTAAATCTATAATGGCTGCTATTATCTACTGGGTAAGTATGATCACCTCATGCGAAAATAGTAATCGTATATGATCTCTGTTACCACTCATTTTTTGCTTTTGGACGGTTAAAAAATTGTTTGTTTGTGGTTAATTGAGTTGTTTCCACAGCTATTTACAGATTGATTCCATTAGTAGCTGTTTTTTCTGACATCCAAGTGTAACAGCTTGGGCCATTCCGAACATAGGTGAAAAACATGGTCTTAAATCTAATGTCCTAATCAGGTTCAGGAATATTGAACAGCGAGCTTTCAAGCTTCTGTAAATTGCGTTTCTCTTGTGCTACAATTGGGGTTATGTTGAAACCCTGTTGTTCGCTGGGTGCAGCAATGTAATCTTATCTTAATAGTTGCAATCTGCAGCGCCCTGGCTTTGGCTTGAATCCTCCTATGGTAAAAGTAAAGTAAATTGTTTCATATGTCCGTTATGATTTGCAGTGTTAAAGCTTTGATGTTGCTTTACATCTTATAGTAAGTTTAGCTTGAAGATTAGCAAGTGGAGTAGGTAAGAACCAGCATGTGATTTTGCTGCATCGGTCTCTTGCTTTTTTAGTAAAGCTGAGCCGTGGCTTCCCTTAAATGTTAAAGTGAACGTTTGGCATCACAAATGATCGTCCCAAAAGCCAAAAAATGAAGTTTCTCTTACAGGACGGTACTCTTGGTCGTCCCAAAGGCCGAAGGATGAGTCCCAAGGTTAAATTTGAGTGTTGATCTCTGATTTGTCTTTTATATACATTTGAAAATCCAACTCTTTTTTATCCTTTTTTATTTCTTCAAAGGTGGTTCCTTTAAATAGAAAAAAATGATTCATTCAACCATATATCCTGAAAATATGATTCATTTTTAAGGTTGAATTAGAACATTTAAATGTTTGGAAACTTGTTTAAAATCTGGATGATATGTGATATCTTGTGTAATTGATCTTTATTAAACAGATCCTTCTCCACAAAAAATAATATATAATATATATTCATGATTCAAAAAACCCTTTAAGAAATATAAACAATATATATTTTAGAGGAGTTTAATAAGATATTTAGATTTTTTTAAAGATTTAATGAGAATTAAAAAAAACATGAGGATTTAATTAAAAACTTATAAAACTGTGACGCATCAATTGACCTTTTTTAAAAAATTAAAGGAGTTTAATTAAAAATATATATTTTTTAAAAAGGTCTAATTAAAATTTGAAAATGTAATATAAAACATTGAGAATTACGTGTATTACCAATTTGGCAACCGTGTAAGGTATAGGGTGAAAAGCAAATGAAAGGGGAGGATGCGTGATGCAAATCATGCAATAATATGCGAAGGGCAAGAGTTGGCAATCATTAAAACTGAGGCAAAGGGAATAAAGGGGTGTATTGCTTTTGTCACCCACTGCTCAACTCTCGTAGAGGTGCACAAAAAATTCGAATATTTAATTTTATGTAAAAAATATTCGAAATCGGATTTGGAAAAAATTGGTTTTTTTTAAACCGGATCGGATATTTTAAAACCGGATAGTATAACCGGTTTGAGAAAAAATTGGACGATCGGATTTTTTACCGGATTAAAAACCGGTTTGAAAAAATTAGATAAAAAACTAGTTTTTTATCCGGAAAAAAATCTGGTCTGGGGTTTAAAAATTCGGTTTGGGGTTTAAAAAATTGAGTGACCGGATTTTTTACCGAATTAAAAATTGGGTTTTTTTCAAACCAAAACCGGTTACACCGATTACATCATTCGGCCCTCCAAACCAATTATGATCTGAACTGATTTTTTGACTTAATAAAAAAATCAGATTAATTTTCATTCGATCCGTCAGATTTAAATCTGACTATCTGCATCTCTACTCTCACGTAGCACCAAAAAGAGAGTGCCTTTGTATGGCAAATTCAAAGAGATGATGACGTATCCAGGCACGCGTATTTTAGCACCAGTCTCTGTACCCCCCCAACAAAAACCCTATTAATTCTTTTTTTTTAAATGGTTCCTGAGGCCTGAAACTTTGTCGTTTTATTCCAACATCTGAACCCCAAAACACTGTGTGTCGGCCTCGGACACTAACAGGCACCATAGACAGGCAAAGGGAACACAATCTCCCCTACCTTTGCCATCTCTTTCAACATTGTCGTAGACCCATAGACAGGGGCATACGGCTGTGTTTTGGCTACAATTTTGTTTCATTTTGTTGGGTAAACTATATTAGTACGGAATCGGATTTAGAAATATATTATTGGGTTCATACATTTATATTAATAATATTTTTTTTGTATGTAGTAAAAACATAAAATTTTAAAAAATAAACAATTAACATAAAAAAATTTAAATTTCAGGTGAGGATGCATGTAATAATAATATAGTTTTTTTGTATAGAGTGGACATAAATAAAATTTTAAGGCTAGCAACATCAGTAAAACAAACAACTAACATAAAAAAATTCAGATTTCATGATGGACATGTGTCAACCTTGACGTACACAGATCTGCCAATGCTAGTACCATTAAACTTTAGGTGGTGTATCAATTTTCACACAAATCGTCCAAACAAACTACTTTTTGACATTGTATTTTTTTGTTGTTGCCGACAATCAATCATCAATATCAAAATATTTGTATTTCGCTCATCTTTCTTCTCAAAGGTATAGTTTTCACTGAACCCACTTAAAATCGACGAAATTACATTTAAGAGTTTAATATGCTAATACTTTGATATTTTATGATAATCGTTCGATGAGGATAGTTTTAAGATATATTATTCGTCTTTTCGAAGTATTGTTTCTCATCGTTCGGATTTCGAACAAATTCCCTAAATATTTCAACTCTAAAAAACCCTCAAAACCCCTAAAATTGTATATTTTTTGTTTAGTTTCGTTTATTTTGAGAGGGTTTCAGTGAAAAAATCAATTATATGATAAGAAATATAATTGAAATGTGAACGTTTTGGTATCAATCTTGTCGTGAAAGACAACCAGTGATGGGTGGTGATTGACTGTCAACGATGGTAAAAAAAGTACAGTACCAAAAAGTGAATTGTTTAAAAATTTAGAAGTAAAATCGATACACTCTTAAAGTGTAATGTCTTAATTAATAACTGCATTAAAATGATTTCGTTTTATCTACATCATCACATCGTTTAAGTTTTAATTGTACAATCAGGGTTTTAAATCGGGGTCCGCGACCGTGATAGCGCCCGTGATTTCGTGGAAGCATTGCCTTCCGATATACCTGCTACACCCGCAATAGCCTCCAATAGCGCCCCTACGACCGTAATAACGCCCATTATGACCGCAATCGCAGTAAACCCGAAATAACCGAAAACGCGATTACGACCGCGATTTGAAACCTTGTGTACAATAACATAATTGAAGTTAAAACTAAAGTTTAACGTTATAACTTAGAAATTTGAAAATTCAACAATACACTGTGTAAAGTTGAGTGGTATGGGGGGATAGTTTATCCCTTCTTTTATATGGATTTAGTTAAACTACATTAAATTGGCCAGGCTGGTTTGAAAACCCTGGCCTCCTACCTCTCGATCGGGCTCGATGTGGGATTGTGGGGGCAATACATATTTCCTTTTTACGTGGCTGCCCCATGCTTCACGCATATTCCTTTGTCGGCACCATTTATGTGAAAACTCAACTGTCCCGAGTTTATTTACTATTCCTTTAGTGTAAGGTGAATTTACGAACAATTAATGGTGAGCATGATAACCTTCGTAAATTTATTCATTGATTCTTTAACAACAAAGAGAATGATGTGGTTGTAAAAGCTTTGTGCAACTTCTTGTAGGGCCGATGTTATACATTTTATGTTGAGGGTGTCACAAAATCATAGATTTGCATGGTTTAAATTAAATTTTATGAACGCTGAAATATAAATTTACTTATATTATAGCGATTATTTATGCAATTTATATGAGAATTAAAATATTTTAAAATATAATAATAAAATCAATACATAAATCAAAATTAATTAATAAAATGCTATCTTAATAAATTTTATATTTACTGAGAAAAACCAAGAGAAATAGACACAACTAGGCATCCAGTTTTAAAGACACGACATGTACATTAATGCATGTATTCCCTTTTTATAGTATTATAGATGTGGATGATGACATAACAGCTATCATGATCAACACAACTGCCATGCCATGCCATAGAGGGAGCAGCTGCATTGGATTTTGCATTAGATTGGAAACGACGCACAAATAGGGGTGTTCAAATAATCGAATTAATTCGGTTAATTCATTGAACTAAATTAATTCGATTAATTCGGTCATGTTATCGAATTAGTTCGATCGGTTAAAGATTAAGAAAATTTTTAAAATTTGGTTAACGGTTAATTCGGTTCGAATTCGGTTAATTAATCGAATTAACCGAAATTAAAATTAAAATTTAAATATTAAATATATTATATATAACATATTGGCTTAACCCAAACCATTTAAAACTCAATTAATAATTTAAGATCAAATAACTTTTAAACCTAAATCAATATTAATTAATTAAAAAAATTATATAAAATTTTTATTTTATAATTATATATTATTTAAATTAATTGTAAACTGTTTTTTAATTAAAAAATATTAAA